TCCTTAATTTCTACAGTTGTAGCAGGAAATAGCAGGATTTGTTCAGCATTAAATGCACTTGGTGAACGCCAAATCACAGTTGCTAGTCAAGAGAGTAAACAAAGGGGTGGATTGACTGAAAAATTACCCTTATTTTCGAGAGAAGAATTAAGTTGTGTTTACTACACTACATCAAGCCTTTTTTAAAGTTTGTTGTTAATGAAATTCATCCGTAGGAAAGTCTTAAATGCGTGATTTAAATTAATTTATTCTAAACTTGATTAAATTGAGCCAATTTAGTTTTAGAGTATTTATTACTTCAGAAGTAAAAGAGATTTTTTTTTTGAAAAAATCCGGATGACCCGCCCTTGGCGCTCGACGGCAATTTCTCGAATATTTTAACAGGGAGTTGTTGATTAACGCTAACTTTCAAACTTACATTAACTTGTTTTCTACATTAGGCTTTATCCATTAACTAGCAAATCTTACTTGCAAACTTTGCTCGGTTAATTCGCAATAAACTTGTTGATGGGAAGTTATTTCTAATTATCACTTTTTGCATCGAAGCGATTTAAAATTCAAAATGGAGCGAATCGACCAACTTTAGTTATGAAATTCCGGATATTCAGAAGATGAATCTTATAGGAGATAAAGGTAGATAGATATACAGTTAAAGGAGTTTCTTGGATAGCGTAAATTTACTAGTTCTATTTGTACAAGAAATAGAGGAAACAATGAATACATTCACCAAAATTTGCGATGTAGCAGCTGTATAATTCGAATGAATGGCGAATGCTCAAGAGAATCCACCAGAATTTGCAATTTAACAGCTGCAATAATAAAAAATATTAAGAACGGTGAGTGTAGAGTACGATCTTTATTTCGTTCCGCTTATAAAATATTACAATAACGCTAATTTATTATCCACATTGAAGCAGTTTCTTTAGTCCTACGTCTTCCCAAATCCGGCTCGTTCGTCTTGTAAGATACGTTTCTGGTTCTTTAGAATTTTGCTATGATCCCGTGCAGATTACGGGAACAGAAGCGGGGAGGGAGTTACGTGACCAGATAAGTCAAACATTCACTGGAACAAGCCTCCGCCTGCGGTAACTTACGAGCATAATATAAATGTACTGAGAAAACAGCTTGTATCCGATATACAGTACATTATGATGTGTCCCCCCCTTTTATTTTTTGAATGGATCAACTTAGAAAATTGAAATTTAGGATAACAAAACTAATGCATGATTACTATATTTTGGAGTAAAATTGACAGATGAAAATTTCAAGATGGCGACTGGGCGCCATATTGAGATATAAATTTAAATGGAAAGGGGGGTCTTGTGACACATCATTTTGAAGTTCCTGACAAATACTGTACAACCCTGGAATATAAAGTCAATATCTGCACCTGCTACAAAATAGCGGACATTTAATAATTACCTGAATACATCGACGTTTAACGTCATAATTTGAGGAAATAAGCTGAGTTCAGTTCAAAAAGTGCTCGAAATGGTTGCCTTGAACTTCTTGATGTAAGAACAGCCTAACCGAACATTTTCGAACATAGTACATCGATATTTTTACAAATATCTGTAATTATTTCTCGTATATCCAATATTGAAGCAGGTTTAGTTTCGTAGACTTTTTGCTTCAAATAGCCCCATAAAAAAAAGTTTAAAGGTGTCAAATCTGGCGAGCGGGCTGGCCATTCCGTAGGACCTCGACGACCAATCCAACGACCAGGGAAAATAGCATCCAAATAGTTCATTACTTGTCTGGAGTAATTTGGTGGTGCTCCATCTTCCAATGGACGAGAATTGGCCATTTTAGAGTTAGTTCACGTGGTACCTAACTACAATGAGAACTAAACAACCGAAAACTAAATGAAAATACGGTAAAAATTTACTTTAGCGGAAATCGACGTCGGGGTCGAGACAAAGTTTTTCCTATGTAGAATGACGAGCTGAGTCCGAAAATGGCAAAATTTCTTGCCGGAGACGCAAGGGAAAAAAAGTTATGCCACTTTTAAATTCTTAAGTTATGACAAGTATTTTGACAGCTGCGTGAGTATTTTGACTAAACAATTAATGTTCGTTGTAGTACTTAAATTTTTTTCAATTTTTTTTAACCAAAAATAACCTGTCAAACCTTATCGGTTTGCCGGGATTGCTATTTGCCATAGAAAAACAAATATTTCTAGAAAAATTGATATTAATTTGTTTGTAATCAGGTAATTATTAAATGTTCCGCCATTTTGAAATGGGTGCAGATATTGACTTTATATTCCAGGGTTGTACAGTATTTGTCAGGAGCTTCAAAATGATGTGTCACAAGATCCCCCTTTCCATTTAAATTTATTTCCCAAGATGGCGCCTAGTCGCCATCTTGAAACTTTCATCTGTCAATTTTACTCCAAAATATAGTAATCATGCATTAGTTTCATTATCCCAAATTTCAATTTTCTAAGTTGATCCGTTCAAAAAATAAAAGGGGGGGTGGGACATTAAAGAAATGCACTGTATAAATGTACTGAGAAAACAGCTTGTATCCGATATATAAACGAGGAAAATCCCGCGGCGTGTTCCCGTATATTTTTCACTTAACCGCCGATTATAATTTTTAATTTCGATTCGGCCTCCCCGGCATCGGCGATGCGGCAATACGGAAATTAATGATTTGTATAAAATGTTGGGCTTTCCGCCAGCGCTCATAACCCCAAGTATAAAATCAGCTCGTAACTTCTCTTTATAACAATTTTCCCGAATTTCTTCGAGAAAGTGACCTATTAAATTATCCCTCGCGGTTCAATGGATTATTCCTCGCGGCAATATTGCGCCTTTTATTGCGACCAATCCAAAAATGAAAATAATAAAGTTGATCTATATTATGTATGTGCGGAGTTTATTAGTAATAGTAGGTGGAATAAATGATTGGAATTTTTTTTATGCGCGAAACATTTTTGCCTCGGGAAAAAAACCGGGGATAAAATAGAAATCCAGATAACACGTTGCCGATGAATTCGACCGCGTTTTGTGACTAATATCCGAAAGTTTGGATTGCTTTCACAAGCGCTAAAAAACCACGTGAAGTTAAATTAAACTATGAAATGGCCGTAATAAAACAAATTTAATCGAAATGCTCAGAATTCGAGTGGAAAAAAGTACGTTTGTTAAGAGGATTCGACTCATACAGTGTGTGTCACGACGAGGGCCCATTAGAAGTATCTGGAAAAGTAGTTCTAATTAAAATTTGAAAATTTGTGTATAAGTCGATGTGTTAGTCGATGCGCTCTATTCAATGAAAATATTTTCAACTTTTCTTTACTTCCGGTTATACCGGAAGTGGACAGCAACTTTGTTATTTTAAATGGGATACCCCATATATTAATATATTTTCGAAATGTACGCAAAATTTTAGAGTGCTTTTGTCTAAAAAACTTTTTTCAAAAATGCATACTTTTTGAGTTACTAATTTTTTTTGGAAAAATTTGACCGATGCAGACCCTTATAAAATATTTTTTTACGGGGATCCCTTTAAAGATATGGAAACGCTTTCTGTAGGGTGGCCACTAGCAAGGTCAAAGGTATTTGAATCTGTGTTAAAAAACTTTTTATTTTATACAGGGTGTATACAAAACATGTGAAGTTGAACTTCAAAAATGCCAAATTATTTCATATTTTTAAATGGAACCACCCATTTTTTTCTATTTTATTGAAATCAGCGATAAAAAATAAGGAAAGTTCATGTTTACTTCCCTAGTACCAAAATTATCTCACAAGTACCAAAATTAATAATCAATTAATTACAAACAATGTACATGGTCAGCTTGTAAAAACGGATTATTTAAGAATAATGCAGAAAAGTAACTTTTAAGTAAAATTTTTAATATCATCAAACCTATTAGGTTAAGATATAGGGAAGTAAACATGAATTTTCCTTATTTTTTATTGCTGATTTCATTAAAATAGAAAAAAATGGGTGGTTCCATTTAAAAAAATGAAATAATTTGGTATTTTTGAAGTTCAACTTTTCACATGTTTTGTATACACCCTGTATAAAATAAAAAGTTTTTTAACACAGATTCAAATACCTTTGACCTTGCTAGTGACCACCCTACAGAAACCGTATCCATATCTTTAAAGGGATCCCCGTAAAAAAATAATTTATAAGGGTCTGCATCGGTCAAATTTTCCAAAAAAAAATTAGTAACTCAAAAAGTATGCATTTTTGAAAAAAGTTTTTTAGACAAAAGCACTCTAAAATTTTGCGTACATTTCGAAAATATATTAATATATGGGGTGTCCCATTTAAAATAACAAAGTTGCTATCCACTTTCGGTATAACCGGAAGTAAAGAAAAGTTGAAAATATTTTCATTGAATAGAGCGCATCGACTAATACTTGTACACAAATTTTCAAATTTTAATTACAACTACTTTTCCAGATACTTCTAATGGGCCCTCGTCGTGACACACACTGTATACTTAGAAATATTTTACTATAATAACGTGCTATATTCTACAGTATTATTTTAACAAATAATTTCGTGTTTCTTTGTACAAAATTAATTAGAAAGGCGTGGATGATCCGCTGAATTAAGGTTTTGGGATAAAAACGAAATTAACGTCTAAATCATCATGCCGGTGAAAATGTTTCGTGAAATTACTAAAAAGAAACGAGATTTCACCCGAAAGAGTGGAATAAATTTTCCTTTGAATCATATTTCGAATTCAAATTAAATTATTAATGAGTTGCCATTCTCCCATTCATCATAATATAAAGACAATGCACGCATGAGATGTTTACCTATTATTGCAAACAATAATTGGAGATCTAAAGGTTCGCGGGCTGTAATAAAAAAACCGAGAATATCAATCAAACTTCCTCACTATCGCTAATTAACGGCATAATTAGATGGTGAGGGTATTAATTAGAATTTTAATTGCCCTGTCAACCGACTGACATCCGTTGGAAATAATATTTAAGAAAAATCGGAAATATTTAATTCTTCAGTTTATTCGCAGGAGCGTTGAGTTTTCGAAAGTAAAAATGCTAAAATATTTCGTCTACTTTTTGACTTTTATTTTCGCCGCGCAATGTGTAAGTAATTTATATTTTATATTCCTATATAAGTTTAGTTGTTTTACGTTTGAAATTTACTTTAGGTAGTATAAAGGTATGTATAAATAACTCACAACCGAATTAATACCGAAAATAAGTATATTTTGCTACTTTAGCAGTTATTTTGATGATTAAAACTTTCCCGTTTTAAATGAGAAGCTTAACTGTTGAAACTTCCTTTCATTGTTCTAGTTGGAACTTCCACCTGAGTTGCAGGAATATGTAAATGACCTTCATAATATTTGTATAGCAAAAGCCGGAATTTCTGAAAGTGAGTATTGAAATAATAAGTTTATTGTCCAAGAGATTAGTACTTTGACAACATTTTAATCCTATATTGTTAATTATTTTAGCTGATCATGCTGCTTATGACATTGTAAAAAATCCTCACGATCCCAAATTAATGGTAAGTTTATAAAAAATGTTTGTGTAGGTATAAAAATAAGGTAATTTTTGTATTATTTTTAAGTGCTATATGAAATGCCTTATGATGGAAGCCAAATGGGTAAGTTTTGTATTGGAAAAATCGCAAATACTCGATTTAAAATTCTAATTTTTAGATGAATAAGGATGGTATTATACAGTACGATTTCATAATCGATACCGCTCATCCCAAAATAAAAGATTTATTGGTACCGGCCGTTAATAAATGCAGAAACATTAATGGTAATTTTATCTTCTGTCAGCTCGCACTAATTACCTTTTAATACTCCCATTTATGTGTTTTAGATGGTTCCGATTTATGCGAGAAGGCATCGAATTTCAATTTCTGCATGTACGGAGCAGACCCAGTGGTAATACACAAATATAAATCCAAACGAATGTTCACTAATCACCCATTTATTTCCAGAATTGGTTCTTAATTTGATGAAAGCTAGGTAATACAAAGACACCGATCGTTTCATAGTTTTGTTCCAAATAAAGTTTAGCAAATAAATTTGACTTTTTTTGTGTTATATTGCAACAATTCGAAGTATGATAGGTTGTTTAGTAGTCAACTCAGACTTACTCGCGGTACAGCTCTTTAAACCTCTGGCTCTGCGGCTGTAAGCAATTTAGTCTGGACACGAGGCTGGTGCTGAATTCGAATTTTACTTATTGTTTTCAATTATGGTTTTCGCCAGGTGAAAATCCCGCCTCGCTCGCTCGCAATCGACGAAACCCATTGTTTACCTCGATCCGAAGAACCTCCGGATTCTTTTCACCTGTCCCGGCGGCGCTCTGGAAATCCATCAGCATTTCCAAAGCGCCCCAGGACGTGTCGGCGTCGAAAGCACGCATTAGTATTGTAAATTCAATCAGCCTCAACCGCCGGCTGACACGCCGGATCCAATCCGATCCTCCCGAAGGATCTGCATCCGTCCGGCGGTCCTTAAGCTCGATCGTTTCGCCCGACGCCTGATTAGCTCGGACGAAACAAACGGGGAAATCCCGTCAGGGCAAAACGCCGGTGTAAAAACCCGCTAATAAGAATCCGGGGGTCACCAGCCGGCGTCCAGATCGAGCAACCAGCCCCTAAGCAGGCATACAAGTGTCAAAAGCGGTTTGGAGGCGCAAGGGGCGCATGCCCTTCGCTCGGAATGTCGCTCCTGCGGGCTCAGCATCGCTGGTATCCAGTTTCCCATGTTTTCCGAGAATTCGTGGAGTTCAGTAGACGCGCTGCTGGGCTGTGATGCTGCTGGAGCGGATGCGATCGCGATTGGCGTGAGGACGCGCGCGTGGCGAGATTTTCAGATTTTCGCGGATTTTCCGGGGGTGATTTTTGGCGGGCGATGGATCGGAGGGTGCAGTGAGGATCGGGATCGCGTGCTTGCGGTGAGCGTGCTTCTGGATTGGAATCTGAGCCGGAGGTAAAGATTTTTATCGGCTGGGTTTCTAATTTGAATCGCTCGCGGAAATCGGAGGATTCTTTTGTAATTAGGCGTTGTTAATTTTAATGGTTTGTTCTGGAGTTTTTTTTTCCGGGGGAGATTCGTGAGATTATTTGGGAATCTTCCACCAAAATTTTAATAATACTTTAAACAATTTATCTTTGGATAATTAGAACGATTTTATGGTGTGTTTTTACTAGTGTCTTTAGCTTCATTTCGAGAGTGCTGGGTACAATATTTTTCTCGATTAATTGGAGCGAAAAGTTTTTACGATCCAAATAAAAGTTTATTAACCATTTAACAAGAATAAAGCGTAGTTATTGTCACAGAGTTAGCGTATCTAAATTCGAAATCCGTTTTTTCGAGGATTATGAATAATTTAAATTCGACTGCTTCATTTAAGGTATTAGAGGAGGATCAGGCCGATTTGATTAATGCGAAAATAATTTTGGGTAAGTATTTTTTGTTCTCTCTAAAATGGAATCTTAGAATACTTACAATAACTTCGTTGAATATTTTAGAATACATTAAAACAGATCGCAGACAGCTCGGATAAAAAAAACAAATAAGTAGAAAAATATTAAAAAACTTTATTCCTCTAAATTCGGGCTAAATTGCGATCGCGCTAAAAGTAGAAGACCGGCCGGGACAAATAAGAGCGAAAGTAATAAATTTTTTTTCTATAAAAAGGGTCGCGTAATGGAGACGAAAAAGAGGGACGTTTCTCTCGGATTCGGTTTCGGGTCCTTTCCCGGCTCTCCACTTTGACTTTGACCAGCCGACCGAACGCTCTGCGGCCCTTCCCACCCTCCGTGCCGCCCTTGTCAACGACATTGTTCGAAATTTCCACTCTTAAATTCCCGAATAAAGTCATTAATTTTCCTTCTTAAACCGGAACGCTCTCGGCCGGCAGATCGCTTGTTTTCGACTCGTTTCACTTTTGTTGCTTGTTATATATCAAATATTAGCGTATCCCGGAAGTTTTTTTTACCATATTCGATGAATAAATATTCAAAAAAATCGTTGGTGTAAATGTGGACGCTCAAACAGTGGATTGTTTATCCCTATTTTCTTTGTTCTCTAAACTACAAAGTGTAGTTTCACAAACGGCACTAATCGGTATACTAATCCGAAATTTAATGAAATCGGGTTCATTTCGAAGGGATATAAAATGAACCTCATCCCGAACAATCTGCAATATAATTTAAATATTGGCTAACAGGAAAACGTTGCATAAGAAATTTTGCAAATTTATACTTTTTTAAGCTCTCGGAAAAAAAAAGTTATTTTAATAACAATTCGTATAATTATTCTGTTCATATTAATATTTACATAACTCGCTGTTCACATAATTTCGGCAATTTTAATAGATTTATCGATATTAATTCATTAACATTTAACTAATGTTTTATTTGAAACGCAATTTCAATTAAACGCAATTTAACAATAAAGAGAATTTAAATTAGTTTTAAATTGAAATTGATTTTGGGGACAGCGCCAGTGCGTACGTTCCAATAGCTATAACGCTGATAAGGTGCACAATTCGCGTGCAAACATTTTATGTATACTGTATACCCGGCTTGTTTGGTTTTTTCCGGAAGAAAAATAAAGTTTTATCTAATTCGCAGTGTACATAGTTGGAGGACGTGATGGATTCTCGTCCTGAAATATCGCCACGTGCTGCAGTAATGCAAAGTAAACCTTTTCCGTGGCTAGAATTTAACGGCTCGACTGAAGTGTAAAACTCCAAAATTGATTACACTTCACGGAGACTCCGATGTTGGTATAAATTATCTCATTGATTTTGTTTCGTCGAAATTCGATTAAAAACTTTAGGCCAATGCTTTACTAAAAATGTAGATAGATAAAGTAACTCGACTATATGAATAAATGTTTCCTCTCATTTCGTCGATTTTATCTCGACGTTTGACCAATTTAGAGCCGAATATTTCGTTGTATACCCGCGGCAAATCGATTTAGTATCGTTCGCAAAAATCTCTGTTCCGATTTTTGTTAACGAATTCAACGAATTATCGCATTTAAATCCGAATTTCGCGTGCGTCGTAAACAGAATTTTGTTTAACAATTATCAATTTACGAATGTGACGTTTATTTTTATTTTAAATAAAAGGACGTTCCGTCTATCAATTATTATTTCGACGGCACGAATTTCTCGCGTATACACCGTTGGAAATTTAATTTTGCATAATAGGGAAATCAATGTTAAATTCTTAGCCGGCTGAAATCCAGTCTACCAGTGTACATTTCAATAGAACGCCGCGATCAATTGTAATAAATTTAATTGTTCTACTGGACCGCACGCCGCGATTTGTAGAGGTACAAAGTTATTTGTGTTAAGTATGAGGTACAAAATTATTTAAAAACTAAATTTAATATTTTTTTTGAGGATATTTCAAAAAAATATGTGTATCGGTAGGTACAGTTTTGAAAGAGCAACAAATCTTGTTGAAATAAGGGAAAAAATAATTCAATTTTCTGCTAGAATTATACCTCAGCTCAGTAATATGAGATGACATCTGTATGACAGGTTTGGCTATTGTTTAGCAGAAAGCGGTGGACTATTTTTTAGAGTTCTTTTATTTTCTGTTTTAAAATTATCTTTAAGTTTATTTTTGGAGTTTCCTTTTTATTATTTTCTTAGAATTTACTTTCTTTTTCAAGAAATTGTGGCAAAAAGACATATCTACATAATTCTATTTTAATATATGTGATATTTATTCAATAAATTATCGTTTAAATATTCTCATTTCTTTTTAATCGACACGACGTTCACCCATCCGAACCCATTTTGATACTGTCAAAGTGTCGAAACCGTCGAAATTATTTGATTTTTAATCTAACCAAACCAAATCGCGGTGTGAAGTCCAGTAGAACAATTAAATTTATTAGAATTAATCGCGACGTTCTATTGAAATGTACACTGGTAGACTGGATTTCAGACGGCTAAGAATTTAACATTGTTTTCCCTATTATGCGCGAATAATTTTCCAACGGTGTACATATGAAAAATTTGTTTGCGAATTATTTACAACACCTGTTGGAGTTTGCAATCGAAACTTTTTCCATCGGCAGGGCGAATTTTTACTTATTTACGAGATCGGCGTTTCAGCGACGGAACACGTCGGGTCCTGCATCAATTTCACTCGGTGTAACGTAACAATCAAATGGAAAACTATTCCGTTAATACGACGGAAGCGCGACCTGTCCCGGGAAATGTACGGCGAGTTGGAACTTTGTCCCGTCGTCATTTCTCAGTTCGTTTTCTCGAAATTACTTGGGAAACTGTTTCCTCGAGAAAATATCTCTCGAATTTCCAACCGGGTATAACCCGAGCGGAGGACTTAACGAAGTCGTGTGTTAAACTATATAAATAATGCAGCGTATCCAATAACAAATATTATTCCGGGGCGTTTTTAAATTCAATTATTCGGTTACAGGGAGTTTGGAAACTTTGATGGGTAAACCTAAAAAATCCGCTTGTATAGCGGAAGTTTTGTTGCGTTAATATGGAAAAGGGAAATTCATTAAGCTCCAAGTCGCCGATGTTAGTAGGTAAACATTTCCCTCGCGTTTTCCTTCATATGTAAATAGCTCGCGGCGGAAACCGTCCCATCAAAACTTTGTTTTTCGGTAAAGCTGATAAATGACAAAAATGCCGCGAGATGAAGACATTGTAGAATTTTACACCGGAAGTTATATCGTTATTTGCTAAGGGAGTTCGCTTTATTACGGGCGGGAATGAACTTCGTTATGAATAACTCCCAAAGTGTTTTACTTATGTATTCTTCGCCGCATATTTTAATCGATAAGTTTAAAAGAGCGATATCAATTACAATTCCATTTTCACTTTTCCGATCGCCCAAAGGGTGCGTTTTTGCCGCTGTGAATGGGCGACTGTTGTATAGTCGTACATCATAATCTACTTTAACAGAACATCACTTTTTCAATTAATTTTGACAAGCCTAAATTTATACTGATGAACTCTGCTGATTGGAAAAAAAACGACAAGCGTTCGTTCGCTGATGAAACGTAAAAAAGATG